CTTACAAGATACAAGAGATCTGGTAAATATGCGACAAGGTCCAAATGAATCACCAAATCAGTTTTACGAGAAAATCATGGGTATTCTAAACTGCATATCAAACTAAGTACATAGTACTACGTATCAAACGAAGTACATACCCAAAAGCAAACGAATTATTTCACCAACAAGCCTTAACTACCTTCTTGACAAGACTTCGAGAACCTATTTGGTTCAGAATAAGAACAATGAGGCCAACTAACCTAACCGAAGACATACAATACATTCAAGAAGAAAATAATATTAGGTACGCCCAGAAAAACTGCCATCAAAATGAAACACTTCTAAATGGAAGACCAACCCACAACATCCAAACTCCTAGGCAATATATTTACCAACATCAGCAAGCCTATACACAATCACCACAATTCCAACTTTAGCAGCACCACTACCATGGCAGCAGCAAGCGTTCAAACCACCGCAACCTATGGCGACACCAATGAGATACAAATCTTCAACCCGTTTGGATTATCATTTCAGAACTACCAAAAACCATTATTTAATCAGCCAATAACATATTTAGACCACAGCAACAAAACGATTGGTCATCAAGACCTGGCCCATCGGGATAACCCAAATCAACACCTATGAGTATATTAACAACAGCAAACAATAGAAGTCGACCAATGAACCAAAAGCCCCAACAACTCCAACCAAAATGTAATTCGAAGAACTTTATAATATCGAACAAAATGAAAATCTTTTAGAAAAAAACCCAGAACTTTTCAAGAAGACCCAAGATTAAACTCCGAAACATAATAGAACTCCTCTCTCTCTCTAATGACAAAGAACTCCCCTTCATCGAAATTTCAGAATCCCGTCTTAAACTCCTTATAGATACTGGATCAACCAAATTCTTCCTAAATCCCGAAATAGCTTCCCAATACTTCCAAAGCTATATCAAATATGAGCCTTTTGTTGTTACTTCAAATTTTCAAAATTATGCACAAAATTACACTGCCAAAGTACCTTCTTTCCCATAGTTTTCTTCAAATAACAATTTATAATTTAAGCTTTTTAAATTCCACAAAACATTTCATGGTCTTATAGGCCTCAACAACCTTTACCATTTTCAAGTTCGACTGAATTTTCCAGAATCCAAATTAATAACCGAACATTCATCATCCCCATCCAATATTACGAAACGAATAAATCCCAATTTTTTCAATCCAGTTCAATTTAATTACCTGAATCCGACTAACTGTCGAAGATCAAGGAATTATCCTTATTCCCAAGCATCGATAACGCTGAAATTAAAGAGACACACACTGCTGCCAATGACCAACTAGCCTGATCAGAAATTTTAAATCTTACGCCTGGTCCAATCCAATTAGCCCTTCTAGAACCTGTAAACTGTCGTAAATTCAACGTCAAAGAATACCACATATAATCCATGGAAATATATCTACAACAAAACTCGAAGACTATTATAAAAAAATTTTGCGGTGTACGAGCAGGATCTTTGTGAAATGGATTTTTTTACTAGGGGTAAAATTGTAATCATTTTTTGCCTAGTATTATGGGAGTGTTCAGGAAATTCTTTATTTTGGGAGGAGTAAAATTTAGTATTGGTCCAATAATAAAATAACTGTCTTAAGTCCATGATTTGGCATTCTTCATAGAGAAGATAAGACTTGTAAATAGATTTTTTTAGACATAATTTTAAAAATCTTTTTTGTATTATCTCCAGCGAACTCCGCCCCATCTGTATCTGTAACGTGTAGAGGGTGGGTTACCCCACGGCACTTAGGCCTCATTAGGACCATTGTGCATCCTCCTGAGAAGATAGGCACCTCCTAGCTCGTGAGCCAGCCTACAGATTTAATGTTAGCCGATACTCGCCAAACACAAATCTTCTAATAAATGAGAGCGTCGAGCAATCATAAAGGATATGCTCGATGGTCTCATCTTCTTGTTCGCACCCTCTGCAGAGTGCGGATTCTGACAGCCCCATGATATGGAGATGCTTTCGTACTTGGCAATGACCAGTCAGAATGCCTGTGACTAGGCGCAGATTCTGTCTAGTCATAGTCAAGTATTTGTTTACTGCAGTGTTGTCAGGATAACTTAAGAGCTCCTTGGCAACTCTGCAGTTTCTTGTTTCATCCCATCTTTCCTTGAATTTCACAAGGGAATGTTCTTTGATTAGGTCTGTCACTGCCGATTTTGTCAGGCCAATAGAAGGGCCAGGTCCAAAAAGTATTTGGTTGGCTGCTTTCTTGGCTAGTGAATCAGCAAGACGGTTGCCTTTCGATGTGACGTGACCTGTAATCCATCTTAAAGTGACCACGTTGTTGATGGATACTTCGGACAAAGCTTCGTGACATTCTAGTACTAACCCTGAATAAATTCGTGGTCTGTTCAGGGTGAGTAGTGCTTGTCTGCTATCTGTATAGATGAGCATGTTCCTTCCAGTAATAATTTTTCTGGTTATTTCTTTTGCTGCTATGAGAATCCCGTTAGCTCTGTTTGAACTATACTGGCACTATTGCTCACAGACCATTTTATGTTTAGGTTTAAGAATCTGGAGTATATTCCACATCCTGAGCCTTGTTTTGTTATAGAACCGTCGGTGTAGATATGAATCGTACCTGCCACTTCCGGCTCTTCTATTTGTTCTATTATAACTTTATATGGCTTATGAAAGATATATTTTGGTGAGATGGAGTCCATGTTCGCTTGAAGCAGTGGAAGCGTATCCAGCGCTTCCTGCCAAAAGTGACGTCTCGCCTCACCAGATGCTACATCAGGTTCTATTCCGACCGTGCGGAGGCGTGTCATTGTCGTCCTTGATGTAAATATCAAGGGGAGTAAGACTAAGACTGATTTCCATCACTCTAGTCGGTGTTGTTTTCATGGCTCCTGTTATGTTGAGACATGCTGTTCTTTGAATTTGTTCTAGTTTACGGATAGCTGTTAACTTTTGGGTTTTCGGTACCCATACAACTGCACCGTATGTTAGCATAGGTCTTATGATAGCCGTGTAAGTCCATGCGACGACTTTGGGGGAGAAGCCCCAGGTGCGCCTCACGGTTCGGCGGCATTGTTCATAAGCAATGTATGCTCTTTTAACTCTGATTTCTAAATGCGAATTCCATGTTAACTTGCTGTCAAAGGTGAGACCTAGGTACTTCACCTCTGTTGCAAAGTTTAGTTTTGTGTTTAGGAGTTCCGGAGGTTTTAATTCCATTTTCACCTTTTCCTTGTGAAAAGAACCATTTCTGTCTTCTTAGGATTGATAGACATAGAATGATCTTTTCTATAATTTTTAGAGCTACTTGCATTCTTTCGCAGAGTATACTCTCAAAATTCCCTGTTTGCAGAATGACCAGGTCATCTGCATATGCTATTGTGTAGTGACTGTCATTATTGAGGCGGCTGATGAGGGTGTCGAGGACCGTATTCCACAGTAGAGGTGATAGCACCCCTCCCTGTGGACATCCCCTCGCAACCAAACCTCTTATATTCACATCTTCTTCACTTATGATTACTGCTCGCTTTGAGAGCATGTTATGTATCCACCCACTAACCATTTGTGGAACATTCCTGTTGGTTAGTGAGTGTATTATCTTTGGGAAGGTGGTTTTATCAAAAGCACCTTCTATGTCTATGAAAACACCCAAGGCGGACTCCTTATTGTCCAGGGATCTTTCTATCCGGCCAGCAACTAGATGAAGGGCTGAATCAGTAGATCTGCCTGGGGTGTATGCATGTTGGTTTGGGTGTAGTGGTGTTGTTGTAATCACTGCATCCCTTATGTACCTTTCGCATAGCCTTTCCAATGTATTCATGGAAAACGATGTCAGACTAATTGGTCGGTATGTTTTTGGGACAGTGTAATCCATCCTTCCAGGTTTGGGTATGAATACCACTTTTACCTCTCTCCATTTTTGGGGGATATACCTCAGAGCCAACGAGGATCTGAATATACCCACCAGGTGCGATGTGAGTTCTTCCAGACCCCACTGAAATAGGGCTGGATAGATACCGTCAGGTCCTGGCGATTTAAATGGAGAGAAGCTGGATATTGCCAATCTAATTTTTTCATCGTCTACAATGTGTTTGGCAGTTTGCCAATCATAGACAGATGGATTGTATTCTTCCTCTGCCCAGTCCGCCACGTCTGTGATGACCGAGTCAGGAAAGTGTGTTGACAGCAGAAGTTTGATGCTATCTTCGAGGTTGGCAGTTTTCGTGCCATCCTCTTTGATTAGCGCACCAATGCTTCGGTGTGGATCTTTTGAGAGAGCTTTTTGAAGCCTCGCTACCTGAGGGAAATCTTCGATTTCTTCGCAGTAGGATCTCCATGCATCTCTCTGTTTTTGTTTGACGATTTTTTTGTATTCTCTGAGGTGAGATTTGTAAGTATCTCAGTCCTCTTTGAGTTTTGTGGTTCTTGCCTTATTAAAAGATTTCCTAGCCATCTTCCTGAGGTGATCCAACTCGTGACACCACCATGCGGTAGTCGTCTGATCGTGTTGGACCAGCCTCAGAGGACAGGATTTCTTATAGGCATTGTTTATTGTGCTTTGGATAGTGTTCGTGTACTTTTCTAAAGCAGTATTATTGTTTGGTGTTTCGTCCTCCATCTCTCAGAGCCTCTTGGAGAAGGTGGGCATAGGTTGCCCTGTCCGTCTTCCTAGGGTTCCGAGATAGCGTGGAGGTCGGCAACATCAAGTTTATTTTGAATGTTAACCAGCGGTGGTCTGACATCGAAATGTTATCAGACACTTGCCAGTTTAGAATTGATTTATAGATACCAGTTGTGGATAAAGTGATATCTATTAGTGTTTGCGAGAGTTTAAAAATGTTGGTGTGGTACCTTTATTTAAAATACAAAGATTTTTGGTAATTATATAATCATAAAGTGACTTACCTCTAGCGTTGTTATCCTTACTGCCCCAACTGTAGTGATGAGCGTTTGAGTCGAAACCTATTACCAGCTCAAACTTCTGTTTCAGGCAGTATTCAATCAGATCCTCCATCTCTTTGCTGGGTGGTGGCGTGGTTGCGTCGGAGGGGAGGTATGCAGATGCCAGGATTAACGTTCTCTTTTCCCTTTTAATGACGTATTCCATCCTAACCGCAGTTAAATCAGAGGTGGAAAGGTGTGCCATTGAGTGGGCTTTGTATTTCCTAGGAATGTAAATGGCTGTCCTAGGTTGTTGATTGCTGGGAAAGCTAAAAATTGAACCATTTAGATTTTTAACAGCTAAAATTTTGGTTTTTATTATCCAGGGTTCCTGGATGAGTGCTATTGTATCTTGCAGCTCATCAAGGGGGCGGCATAATGTTGCCGTAGCCACCCTTTTGTGCTGCAAGTTACATTGTATAATCGTTACCTCTTTTATTGCTTCCCGGTCTTCCGTTGAAAATTAGGCAGCAAGATGGTTATTTATTCGACCATCCTTTCCTCCGAAAGTGGGGAGGGGGTGGTCTCTTTTGGCTCCTCGGAGTTTTCTTGCTGGAGGTCATCTATTGCCATTTTTTCTGGCTCGACGTCCTCCACTGTTGGCTTAAATTGGGTAGGAAGAGGGTCCTTTACCAAGGAGTCTTCACTGGGCCCCGCCTCAGCCTCTTTTTCAACCTTTGGCCTTATAATCAATGAGGTGAACGCATAGCTCATCCTCATTGATTTGGCCTTTAGGGTTCCCATGTCTTCGTCTCCGATGCCGAAGACGAAGAGATGGCCCTTAGGGTCTTTTTTGATTTCATAGTGGAAGGTGCACCATTTCGCCACATGCATGTTTGGGTTTTGCCCCTCAAGTCGCCTGAGCACAACCTCTTCCTCGTCAAGGTCAGCTTGCGCTTCCCCTGGGATCCAGAGAGTTTGGTGAGCTTGGGGAGCTCGTCCATCCTTACAACGGCGAGTGTTGCTCCTTCCCATGTTTTTAAGGTCAGTACCTTGGTTTTTATCCATTCCAACGTCAGGTTATCGTCGCAGGTTACTCTGATGATTTCACCAGAGTGCGACCAAGACCTGAATGTGGGTGGCTTGGTTTTACTGCAGGAGGCGGACAAGATTGTTTTGTCCAGCTCTCCTATCAGTGTCTTTTTGACAAGGATTTCTCTTTCGGTGCTTATCTTACCGTAAGGGTTATCCTTGTCTATTATAGCTACTTTCAGGTGGCTCGTAGCTGCATCCTTGTAGCTTATCCCAGACAGAACTGGTCCTGTTTGGGTTTTTTTCCCTTCCGGGGCGTTACCTCGGAAGAGGTGTGAGATCGCGGCCCTTTCTTGTCCCTAGTTGCGTCGTGTTCCTGGCCTCTTGTGGAGGCAGAACTAGCGTCGCTGTCTAGGGACTTGACTAGGCCGCTTTTTTGTTTGGAGTGAGGGAGTTTGCCGAGGGTGGCGGTTGCCGTAGCACTGCCTGCCTGCTGCTTATCCCTCTTCTTCCTCCTTGCTTCAGACCCAGAGATTCTTTTGCCTCTTCATGGCCTGTTAGTTGGAGGTGAACTACGGTGTGAGATTGGCGTCCATCCTCCTTTTTTTGAGGTGATCGTCGCTGTCCAGCCTCCTGCGAAGGAGTTGGACTTTGGTGTCCAGTCTCCTTTGCTGGAGGTGAGCGTTGACGTCCAGCCTCTTTGGGTTGTTTTTGTGCTTGTGAATCCATATGATTCCCACGAGAAGCTAGGGAAGGAAAGGTCGACCGATGCGGAGCCACGCATGCGCTGGCAAGGCTAGATACAAGAGGGTTTCGCCAGGTTCCCTCAGGGGAGCGTTTGCTGCCGCATATACCCCTGCGATAATTCATCCGTCGGCACGTTACCATACACCTTAGATTGGGGGAGTTGGTTCGCGGCGGTAGCCTTCGCAAAAGATTTTGAGGGTTTTTAGGCTCTCGCACTCTACTTATGTCTACCACTAACCAAGGGAAACTTGGCCGTCCTCCTATCCACCACCCGGAGACGCGCTCAGTTGGCACTCAACCGCTCCGCCCCATATGATTATTCCGCATCGCAAGTGACTTTCCACTAGGGAAAGATAAAAAGATTTAATCAAGTTTAGTGGCAAGCATTTATTTAACTGTTTAAATTTGTATAAGATTGTGTGCAGGTTTTTAATTACATAATTAATATGTATATCACATTTAAGGTGTGCATCTATAAAGATTCCTAAGTATTTTATCTGCGCTACGGAAGTTATTTTGTAATTGATAAGATGTTGAAAGGTACAACTGCTATGATAGCCTATGGTAGCCTATGATATCGTCCACATTTTTTAGGGAAAATATATTATTTACGTAAAAATTAAAAAGTACAGGCCCCAATACAGTCCCTTGTGGAACTCCATAAGCTATTTTTCTTTCACCACTAATTTTATTTTCCCTCTTTTACCATTTTAGTTCTATTTTGTAAATAACTTTGCAAAAGGGCAAAGTAATTTCCTCTTATTCCAACCTCTTCTAATGTTTCTAATAGTAATGTGTGACTAACTGTATCGAAAGCCTTTGCCAAATCAATAAATATACAGACACGGCCTCCCTCTCTCTAAGGCATCGTGAATCTTGTTGGTTAGGACGAGTAAAGCATCTTCTGTGGAAGTATTTTCTTTAAATCCAAACTGCCGAGGCTAGAGTAACCCATACCTATCCATAAAAGACATCCATCTTTTTTTTTAATTTGTCAAAGACCTTTGACAAGTTAGTCACAAGTGAAATTGGTCGATAATTAGTAACTATTGTTTTATCACCTTTTAAAAAAAAAAAAAACTACCATGGTTTTTTTGAATGCCTCTGGCCATATTCCATTTTGAAAACACTTATTTATAATGTATTGTAATGGTTCGATAATGTAGTTAGAGAGCAACTTAATAGTTTCTGCTTTGATTTCATCTATTCTTGTAGATTTTTTATTTTTTAATTCGCAAATCAAATTTTTAATTTCTTTAGAGTCCGCTGGTAATAAAACTATTGAATTAGGAAGTCTTTTAAAGGTTTTCTGGAAATTTTATTTTTTTATATTTTTTCCGCGAGCAGTTGCCCAATTTCAACAAAACGTTTATTAAATTCATTGGCGATTTCCTTTTTTTCGCATATTAGTTCGTCGTTTTAATTTTTTATTATATTACTTTTATTGCTCGAACCACTCAACTCTTGAATCACGCCCCAGAGTTGTTTTGGATCACTGTAATTTAGTTCAATTTTTTTTTTGTAATTGGCTGCTTTAGATTTTTTTATTAAGTTTGTAACTGAATTTCTAAACGATTTATACCCACTTTTTAAAATGTCATTAATTGAATCATTTTTCAGTTTTTTAAACATCATTTTTTGCTCATTAATATCGAACCTGTGCAATCTTTGATTTTTTCTTTTATATTTTTTTTACTTCCGTAGATTCATTTATGAGTTCAGATATTGTTGTTATAAGTGTATTCATTGCTATATTTATATTTGTTTGCGTAAGTATTACACAGCTCTACAAAAAAAAAATTTTTTGTTGCCCTGGATATCATCGCGAATTTTTATGTTTTCAAGTGTCCAGATTTCGAATATATTCATGAAAGTTCTCAATGTGCTCGTATTTTTATGATTTTTGCATGTCTTATGTGTTAAACAATTATCGGCTTCTTAGAAATAAAATTAAGTTCTTCAGTCATGATTAAGGCTTCTGCGCAACTTTTTAGCGCATACAAACATCACGTGATCCCACCTCTCAGACGCCTTGCTCCACAGAACAGCTGAAATCTGTTATATGACAATATTGAAGTACTTACACGTGAATCTGGTTAAGTTGTCATGGATTAATATTTTGTTTCAATTACTGTATGTCCATTCTGATATATTCGTCTTGTCTTCTAAAATATGAGTTCGTCACGGAGAAAGTGTAAATATTATAGTGATTTATTTTGTTATATTTGCGGTGTTTATATATCAAAAAAACAAAAACGAAATATCACAGACTTTGTCAAGGAGAGTTATGTTGAATATTTCGGTTTTGGAATGGACAAATTAGGTAAACCATGGGTTCCTAATAAAGTTTGTAAATGCTGTGTTGAGTCTTTACGGTTATGGAAAAAAGGAGAACGTTCTGGATTAGACTTTGGTATTCCTATGATCTGGATGGAGCCTACGAATCATTTTGATGATTGTTACTTTTGTGTAGTAGATGTTAAAGGTTTCAATCGAAATCAAAAGTGGAAATACCCAGACTTACAGTCTACGAAATGTCCGGTTCCACACAGTGAAAATCTCCCTCGGCCTATTTACGTTTCAAAAGTAATTCGCATGCCCTCAGAAACAATGATGTTGCCAAATTCACAGAAATCGGGACCGTCTAGCAGTGGAAGTGAATGGGAGGGTGAAACATCTACGCCAAAGTTATTTTCTCAAAATGAACTTAATGATTTAATACGTGATCTCAATTTATCAAAACAAGATTGAAAGAAAAAAATCTATTAGCACCAACCGTAACAATTACAACATACAGAACGCGAGAAAAAGAGTTATTACAGTTTTTTAGTGACGATCAGGGATTGGTGTATTGTAATGATATCGCGAATCTGCTTTTAGACATGGGTTTAAAGGAATACAAATCTACTGAATGGCGCCTTTTCATTGACAGTTGCAAAAGAAGTTTAAAATGTGTCTTTTTGCACAATGGAAATAAGTTTGCATCAATTCCAATTGCCCATTCAACGAAACTTAAAGAAGAATATGAAAATGTAAAATTAGTTTTAGAGAAAATTAAATATTCGGAGCATGAATGGCCGATCTGTGTGGATTTAAAAATGGTTAATTTTTTACTAGGCCAACAAAGTGGATACACAAAATACCCTTGCTTTATTTGTATGTGGGACAGTAGAGCGAAGCAACTTCACTGGGAACAAGATGTTTGGCCTGTAAGAAATTCTTTAACTGTCGGTAAAGCCAATGTAATAAGGGAGCCACTGGCGAGCAAAGACAAAATCATACTTCCACCATTGCACATTAAGTTAGGTATGATAAAGCAGTTTGTAAAAGCTCTAAACAAGGATGGAGATTGTTTTAATTATATTTGCAGAAAATTTCCGAAGCTTAGTATGGAAAAATTGAAAGGTGGAATATTTGATGGTCCTCAAATACGGCAATTAATAAAAGACTCAGATTTTATCAAAGTTATGACTGTTCCGGAAAGTTAAGCATGGAAAAGTTACGTGTTGGTAGTCGAAAATTTCTTAGGTAACCATAAAGCAACAAATTATGAAGAAATTGTGCAAGATATGCTGACAAACTTTCAGACTTTAGGAGCAAATATGAGTGTTAAGTTACACTATCTTCGCAATCATCTGGATAAATTTCCAGATAATTTAGGGAATTATAGTGAGGAACAGGGAGAGCGGTTTCACCAAGATCTAAAAGTGATGGAGGAAAGGTATCAGGGTCGATGGGATTGTCACATGATGGCAGATTACTGCTGGTCTTTGAAAAGAGATTGTCCACTGAAAAATTATAAGAGAAAAGCTCATAAAAGGCGTTTTATGGAAATATAAAACATATTTCCGATATTTTCCTCTTTATTTACTTCGATGTATCCTAATTTCTCACAACAGAACTAACATTATAAATATATCTGTTAATTTGTATTTTGTTTTTCTATTTTTGTAATATAAAATGAAAATAAAGATTTAAAAAAAAATGAGAGCAAATCTTACAAAATCATTGATAGTTTCATGAATTGTGTACATAAATAGAGCCAAAATCATTTTCATATCTAGGGCAACAAAACCACTGTAGACCAGTGTTATTTGCCAATCTACCTGTTGTATTTTCTGTATCAGTTTACTATGATTTGAGTACTTTATCTTTTTGAGACATAGCTTTTCACTTTTTATTAGCTCTTTATTAAAGATTAGTTGTACTATAGTTGTTGAGTGATCTATTATATTACTTTTAAGTACTATTGGTATAATATTATTCATTATATTTTGTTTAGATTTTAAGAAAATACAGTTTTTTAGTCGGGTTGGTTCATTGATTGTAGATAAGAAGCCAAATTCATTTAGGGTGTTCAGATATTCAGTAGTGTATTTATCATGAGCATTTATCATAATGCAGCATATAAAGAATCTAATAGGAAGTGAGAAAGATATTCGCAATAAGGATTGTTGATATCTGTACAAAATGTTTTTAATTCAATATTTTTAAAATAAGGTGTTTTAAATTCTACCGTTTCACGATTATCACTAAATAAGTTTAAATAAATCACTTAGGTCCGTATTTATAAACTGAACTTGGCTAAGTCGAACTTGGGTAAGTCGTCCTTGAACAAATATCGAAGTTCGGTTACAACGTTTCTAAAGTTCCAGGTGGTTCCGGTGTTACACTGGAATTTAGAGGTGGGTTAGTAACAAATCGGCAATAATTCCAAATAACAGAATTTTAGGGGCTTCGTTTTCTTCTGTCGTTCGCCAACAGCTTTAATTTTTGAATTTTCGGGGAAAATGTTATTATTTTCGTACAGATACTCAATTTTTCACGAGCAAGTGAGGAATCAGTTTAGGTGATCTTATTTATTTATTTTTTTTAATTAAGAAAACAATTTACGGTGTCATAAAATTACACCTGAAATATTACACAAATTTAAAATATGCCTTTAAAAATGTGTCGTATATATGTAAGTAAACGTAGTGTGTACAAAATATTCATTTGAATTTGTAGATGAACAACAAACTGGTATATAGAGAACAGGAAAAAATCTTGCTAGCCGAGCTCGTTAAAGAGCACGGTAGGACTATTGAAAATAAAAGGATAGATGGGGCAACAGTGGCTGACAAAAATAAGTCTTGGGAATTATTAGCCAGCAGCTATAATTCCCAGCCCAACGTATATGTTTTGCGAACCGCAAAGCAACTTAAAAAAATATGGGTGAACTTGAAGCAAAGGTATTTAAAAAAATTAATATTATTTTCATCAAACTCGGTTATACATTTTTAGAAAACGAAAAGTCTACAGAATAACGGCACAGCATGCTGACTACTGGTGGTGGTCCACCAAAAAAGCCAGCATTTGATCCAGTCCTTCAAATTGTGGAACAGGCTGTTCCAAATTTAGATGTTGTGGCCAGCTGTCCTTTTGATAGTACTGCCGTGTTTGAATGAGATATGGTTGGATACTTTCAATATTATTAAATATTATATCTGTATGTACTCAAATACATAGGTATTTCTTTTCTAGAACAAGGGCTAGCCAGAACTTGTACCAGTGCTGTGTATAATGATGATACTTATTTACACAATAATGGTAGGTTATATTTACAAATCATAAATGCAGATATCAATTTTTTTTATTAGATGAAAGTATAGAATCGGCTATGTTGGATGAAAGTTTAGATTCGAACTTGCTAGATGGAAGACTACCATCAATTACAGAAGCGGCCGTTCCCAGTAGTAAGTTTACTATAATCTTGTTACTTATCCGATTATTAACATTTAAACATATCAGTTTCAGTTAGCCCTCCTACTGTAGGTAGATTGCCACACGATGATAAAAAATCTGCAGAATCAGTGCTAAATAAAAAGTTTACCCAATCTATTCGTCAAGAAAAGGAACTTTTTCTTCGGAAAAAAAGGGTGGCTGAAGAAGAGCTGGGTAAAATATCCAAAGAGCGGGAATTGGTAAAAGTAAAGATGGAGTTGGAAATTAAAACGGCAAAACATGAAGAAAAATTGGCAGCATTGAAGTTTACAAAAGAATGGTAATTTTTCATTCTTAAAATTTCAGAATGAATAAAAATTTATTATTTACATGTTTAAAACTTTTAAAAATTTCAGATCCACTAGCCGATATATTTAGTTTTAGTTATATTTTTAGTATAGTTAAATGTTAAGTTGATTTAGTGAATTAGTATTTTTTGTTTGTTTTTACATCTTTTTTTTACAAAAGTTTGTTTTCGTTTAGATTTTTATTTTATTAGTTAAATATTGTTAAGTTGATTTTTTTATAGAATATTTTTTTAGTTTGGTTTTTTAAATTTAGTGTTTTAACCTCAGTTTTTACATTTTTTTTACAAAAGTTTTTTTGTTTTAGTTTAGATTTTTATTTTATTTACGTATTACTTTTGCACTCGTGATTTTATTTGTGCGGTGAAATTTTGTAAATGATAGTATTTATTTTTCTGAAAAATATTGTTGGGGCATTTGTTGTGCATATTTACACTTTCAAATCAAACTTATGATTAGATAACTGATGTCAGTTGTAATTAAAAACAAAGTTCTGCACAATTATTTATGTATAAAAAGTTCTGGTCAATTATCTATATATTAGTAGTATTACTGACAAAATTTTGATTTTGAAATATCTGCTTCATTAATAATATACTTTGATTGTTTCCTTCCTGATTTGTATATATGACAAAACATTTAAAATAGTAAGTTAAGCTACAGTTATACACAACAGCAAAAATTATAAAACTATCACATTAGGACCATGATACAAATGTCTGATTATCTGTTGTAATTACCAATTCAGAACTATTTGAAAAAGTATAAAAACGTTTCATACAGGTCAATACTAAAAATACTTTGAATTTCAAGCACTAGGTATTACAAGGAAAACCAAGTGGTGCTATGTATTTAATACATAATTAATAACACCAAATACACAGATTGCAATTTAATTTTCTGTTGCGGTAAACTTCTGCATTTGCACCTCCAGGATTTGCTATTTTAATATGAGCGCAATCAATACATCCCGAAACGTTTGGAAAATTAGCCATTTGATAAAACATAACACAATTTGACTGTAATCCTTCTTGCATCCTTGGAAAATAAATAAATTCAGCCAAACGTTCCACTATTAAAATCGACACCCTTTTAACGATAAGACTTATCGTGGATCGGCTAATTCCACTTAAATCACCCGATACAATTTGAAAATTAGCAGTAGCAAAAAACGTAAACATGTAAGAAGTTGAACAATTGGCGATATCGGCAAACCACGATTATCCGGCTTTTGTAGTTCTTCATGTACGAGAGGCAAAAGAGTATCCACTACCGTTTCTTTGCAAAATCGGTACCGCCTTAGAAACTGCGAATTGTTAAAATGTTCTAATGGGTTTGCAAGGTACCGTATATAGCGTTTCGGCACACGTAGATGTCGGCGATTTTGATCTCGAACATGATCGTACTCTCGGTTTTCCAAAAGCTCATCAAACACTTCCAACATTTTGAGTAAATCGTAACAAAAATAAATCAAAACTACTATCCACTGCACTGCCAACAAAAAATATTTACGTCGTGTACATAACTAAAAAAGAAGTAGAAAAATTAAACCAATCAGAACTCGAGATTGATTGGCTGTATGTCTAAAGACAAGAAACGAAGAAAAGAGAGAAAGAAGAAGACGAAGAATAACTTATCGGTTTTTAAAAATTCAAATAGGCAAGAAAAATACGTGATCAAGGTCAAACTCAAGCTATAGCAACAATTTCCTACTTGCAAAAAATTAAATTTATATCCAAGTGACATTTTCCGCAAACATTAAACATCATATTTATGAGTTGGCGAAAGCACACATTTCCAAACTAATATGAAAAAGAAGACGAAAAACCATTGTAGCGACATTTTGTTCCAATTTCACTAATACATTCACTAATTTGGCATTGTCCATCTCTAAAATTCCCTTGATAGCTGAATTTCCTTTTTCGTTCAAGGACGATTTACCCAAGCCCGACTCAGGTAAGTTCTGTTTATAAATACGGACCTTAGATTATTGCTTACCCTCTGGTGATACTCATCATACGTTTCAGATGGTTTCTGTATAGAGGTTGTTAATTACGTGACTAGGATTTCTTCGGATCTCCTATCACCATATTTCGCTAATAAAGCTTGGACGTATTTCTGTCCAATTTGATTTATTTTAAAAATTTAAATAATCTCTTGGCTCACCTTTAATTCTAGGCAATATATTTGAAATTAAAATAAATTCTTGGTGAACAGTAAGATACTGTCCCTGAAGAAAAATTAAAAGATTATCTACGGATTTTAAAAATATTGATAGATTACTTCCCGTATAATATTATGGAAGAGCTGGACAGGCTAGTAATATCGCCGTTGTTTAACATTTTTAGAGGAATGGGAATTGGTTCAATCAAATTTACGGGGCTTAGATCAAGGGAATTTATGTTACGAACAATAGAATGTTGTGAAAGAATTAAATTCATGTCTTCCTCAGTGGAATAAGAATAAGTGTTCATAAGTAAAACAGGTAATGAAAGATACTTACAAGATGATCTTCATTAATTTCTTCTGCATTACTTTCATGTTCGTGGATCTTCTACCAAACAACTGAAGTTGACTAGGAATTCTTGCAATTCTGTGTAGTGGATAAAGTTCGCAGCGCCAATTATGTTTTCAATCACTGACATAATAAATAACACATCATTACTTAAATTAAATAAATTATATGACATTATAATTGTAGATATAACCTCAAAATTGAAATAAGGAAATGTATGAAATGAAACGCTATTAACTATCACCAATTAGGTATAATGAAAAGCATTAATAAAACCAGATACATGATTAAATATAATAATTATACAGGGTGTTAGTATATTCAACCGAAAACGCTCTACCCCAGAGAGCTCTTGTTAATTGATGAATTTTAATATCGGAATATGGACCCTTAAAGGGCTTAGTTACCGGGATAAAGGGTGTTAAAACTTTGAAATCAAAATTTAAAATTTGCCATAAATCAAAAACGCCTTTAAATATCAATTTCAAATTTGGTGACCAATATGCTCTTTAATAAAGTAATATTTTGACATAAACTTGCTTTTAAATTTTTTTACCAGTGACGCGCTGTTAAGGTTAATGGTATATTTTCCACCTATTTTTTACGCCACTGGAAAAAATATCTCTTATTTTTTTAAATTCTCTATTCATTTTTAGTAAGCAAAAAGTGAACTTTTTATAGAGCTAAAATGAACAGTGTCACAGAAAATAGCTTCTAAACAAAAGTCTATATGTTCTTCATGCCATGTTGCTACGTTCGTAATTACACAGGCTAGCTCAAATAAAAATCTGATGTGTCCAACACATGACTTTCCTATCTAGTTATTATAGGTTTTTTCCGATTATTTTGTACAACCTATTGCAGCACCTCTATAAATGTTTAGAGGATAAACTAAATATATACATTTTCCACATACATCTAACTCGAACATTTTTCTATAGATATTCATTGTAAACGAAAATACTGAAAAATTTAAATTTAGCACTTTTCCTTCAATACGGTCCATTTTAGAAAAATCGTATAAAAAACAAAAATTATAGAGATCGATATCACAAATAACTTTTATTTAAACAATTTTCCTAAAAAATTTGAATTTCATTACATTTTGTCAAATTTCTCGAATACAAACCATTTAAAAAAAAACTATATGGAACCAAAATTATAGATAATACTATTGTAAGTAATTTTTATCTGAACAATTTTCTTCTCCAAACATAAATACCAGATATATTCCATAAAATATAAAAACGGCCTCCCATAAAGTACCCCCCCAAATGTTCCGCCTTTGTCCAAAATTTAATAATTTCACCTCAGTCCGAAATAAAACTTAAGTTTAAAATTTAATGTTTTTTCCTTTATCCGTTTTTGAGTTTTCTTCAAAATTCGAAATTTATACATTTTCTCAAATATCTCGAATACGGTCCATTTTAGAGAAATTATGTATGGGGTAAAAATTATAGAGAACTATATTACAAACAACTTTTATCTGAACAATTTTTATAAAAAAATAATTTTTTTACATTTTGTCAAATTTCTCGAATACGGACCATTTTAGGAAAATTTGGTATAGAATAAAAATTATAGATAATAATATTATAAGTAACTTTTATTTGAAAAATTTTCTTCTCCAAACGTAAATAACGGATATATTTCATAAACTATAAAAATGACCACCAATAAAGTACCCCCCCAAATGTTCCGACTCTGCCCAAAATCTAATCAGTTCACCGCAGGCGGGAATAAAGCTTAAGTTTAAAATTTGTTGTTTTTCTTTGTATCGGTTCATGAGTTATGGTGGATACAGACACACACAGACACATAGACACACACACACACACAGAGACACACACACAGACACACACACACACAGACACACACACACACATACACACACACAGACACGCACACACACACACACGCACACACACACGCACACACACACGCGCACACACACGCACACACGCACACACACACACACGCACACACGCACACACGCACGCACACACGCACGCACACACGCACACACGCACACACGCACACACACACACACACACACACACACACACACACACACACACACACACACACACACACACACACACACACACACACACACACACACACACACACACACACACACACACACACACACACACACAGAGAGAGAGACATCATCCCGAAAAAACGTAAAAATCCTTCGAAAACTCGAGGTCGAAAAAAATTATGATTCCTATACTTTCCTTATCTGTATACAGATAGGAAAGTAAAAAGAGCAAAGAACACAATAGCAAAAAAATTGCCATTAAAAAGACTGATGTAAACAAGACTGTCAAAAAGAAAACAAAAATAAAAAATAAATATTACTTTGTATATTCATTGTTTAATTTGTCCTAACTCACAGTAAAAATGATTAAGATACTAGGGTATTTAATAAAATATGTCGTATCCAATAAAGTTATATAAT